TATAATAGCTATAACCTACGGGTGGCTCTATCCCTTAGGACCTTAATTCCTAGGAACTAACGGATTTCTTCGCCTCCTAATAACCTATAGCTTCGCTTAAGGGCAGCCTTAAGGTTATCGGCGTCCGTCTTACAGTCTCTATAGTATATAAGTCCAATATCGTTAACGTAGAAAAATAGGATTAAACCATCGCGGATTATAATATAGGAGTTATTAGGGATAGCTATAAAACCTATCCTCTATAGCGTGCTGCTGAATTCCTCTTACTATAGTAGTAGCGATACCCTTAAACCAAAGAGGGCTTTCCGTAGCAGCAGGACCTTACCTAGTACTTCGTAGCCTTACGGTATCTTTATAAATACCTCTTCTTTAAGGCTAGCGTTAATAAACGCGTTAACGGTATTAAACTACCTTATCTCCAGGTTAAATCGGGCGGCGATCGCTATTAGTATACGGAAGGACCGCGAGGCTAGCGTTACGGCGTAGTTATCTTTAGTCTCTAACTGTTTTTATTAATCCCCTCGGACTATAAGGCGTGCCTTACACTTAAGGAGGGTACCCTCCTTATTAAATTTATAGGTGTATACCTACCTATAGACGAGGACTTACTACTTATCAGCCTAATTACCACCTACCTCCTACTAGCAGCCTATCCATCGGTGCCCCGTAAGGTATTCCCCCTCGGCCTATAACCACCGCTCCCGTAACGGGTAAAGGGGTATATCGCGGTAATACTTTAGTAGAGCGGGGAGATCCTCGCGGGTTATATACGATAACGGCTAAGAGGTATTAAAGGGAGTAGAATCTATAGTACCGACGTCGATATCGTTAATAGCTTACTTCCTCGCGCGTATAGGGTTATAAGTCCTGCTAGCATTAAAGAACGCCTTTTAGGCGTTATCGTTCTAGACCTTCTCGGTCGTGTATAGACTTACGATAGTTCTCGCGATAGATAGGCGCGCGGGTAATAGGCGCGCAGCCGATAGGAGTATAGCCGATAGGCACCCCCTAGGGGCACCTATAGCTATCCGTTAGTGGTTATTATATTCTTCTACCTTAGCGCCCCTGACCACTGCTAACGCTATAAGGAACGCGCGCGCGGGATTTTCCGGGGATATTAGAGGCATAGAAAACGGTTTAAACCTTATAATGGTGAACCGTGAAGTGTCCGTAATAATAGCGGTAGCCTCTTCTATAGTAATAGCGGTAGCATTAGAGTTGTAAGGTTCTAAATCTATAGCCTAGTTATTAGGCTATAGATTTAGAATCTTATCTATAGTACTAGTAATAGCCTTTCTTATAGTAATAGCGACGGCCTCGCCTTCATCCGTAGTAATAGTAGTGGCCTCTTTTATAGTAATAGCGACGGCCTCGCCTTTATCTGTAGTAATAGCGGTGGCGTCGCCTTTACCTATAGTAATAGGGGTAGCGTTAGAGTCTTCCGACTCGAGATCTAATACGTTTACGGCTATACCCCTTAATAGTAGCCTATTCGCGGTCTCCTTAGATTAGGTAATACGGATAGATTATAGGCGTTCCCCGATTTCCTTAGCGGAAGCCGTGGCTTATAGCGTTTTAATTCTACCGTTAAATATCTTATCTTCGTTAAAGACTACGTCTCTCGTGGTAATAATATCCGTTAGGTATAGTAGCTAAATACGGAAGCTATTCGCGGATTAGTATCTGATATAATAACCGATCTATGCCTTCGGTTCTAGCCTTTATAGGCGGTTCCTTTTAGCTTAGGCATCGCGTGTTTTTATAAAGGCTTTATAGCCGTATACTCGTAGGTATATAAGGTCAGGTTAACGGCCGCGTAGGCCTTCGTATGGCGTTCGCTAGTCGTTAATATATCGTGGCGTTTTATTATATAGATATATAGTAGTCTTAAAGATCTTAGGCTAGATAGATATGGGCAGATTAGCTCTAATCCTTATAGTCCTCGCCCTTCTTTAACGATGCCTTTAATCCGTTCTATAACGCTATTCTAATCCTATAAATATAGTGCCGCCGGCTAGCCTTCTACCCCCTTAGTAGCGAGGAAAGCAACGACTTCTGGGTGCTAAAATATCTTAGAATCGGCCCATAGAACGCGTGGCCTAACGTCGAATTAGGTCTTAAGTAGGGTAAAAACGTCCTTTGGAGCGTGTAGGATAGAGCCTTAGTCTCTTTTCTATAGATAGTAATCCCATGTATAACCTATATACACGTCTATAACGAATATAATAGACTTATATAGTCCGCCCGCTAATTACTCCGCCTCTTTTAGATCGTGAAAATTAATAGCTAGGGCCTCTCCGGGCTTTAACGGGTAAAGGGATAATATCCGCCGGATCTACTTAAGCACTTACGATTACCTACACGCGTTATAGTCCGTTATACGAGGTCCTTTTATCTTTACCCCCTAAATAGCGTCGATAATCTTTATAAGAGTATCAGTGCCGTAGTGGCTAAGGCGTTCGTGCTACTATTATACCGTGGTCTTCTACGGTTACCGCGGTTATCGTGATCTTCTATACGGGTTATCGCGGGGGTGCCTTACTAAGACCGCGAACGCGGTAGCGGCCGTGGCTTCCGCGCGCTCGATTATATACTAGCTATAGATATTTAGTAGTTTATAGATAGGCTAGTTATTAGCGGGGCTAATAATAGTATCGTTTACGGTATCCTAGCAGTAACCTTATAGGCATAGCTAGCGTTTCGAGACGATATTAGTAACGAATTCCTTATAGTATATAACGTCACGGAGGCGTAATAGCCTCTTCGTGCCTAATAGGGATTATATACGTAGCTTAACGTCTCCGTATCCGAGGATAGGAGCCTTATAAGTACTCACCTAAAGCGTTAATAAATTAACCGTGGGTAGTCTAATGGCCGTAAAACGGCCTCGATTATTAAAGATATAGATTAACGATCCTAAGTCTAGGATCGTGTAGTGTGATAGCGCTCTGGCTTAGTTAATAGAAAGGGATATCCCCTATTCTTATTATAATCTTAATAGTATTATCGTATAACGACGCGCTACCCCCTGGGTTAGGGGGGCTCTTAGTCTCCCCGTCGTAGTAACGGACAGGTTTTTATAAACTATAGTAGTAGGCGTAGTATTATAGAGTTAATCTTCCTAGACTTCCTCTATCTTATTAGCGGTGATAGCTATTACTTCCCGCCTTTTCTATATCGCGGTATCTACGCGGCTTTTAAAACTATAAATACGTATCTTCTTTTCCGCGACCTTTATAATATCTTTATAGCCACGCTAGGTATAAGGGCGTATATCCGGCCTTACATACTAATAGGCGGCGGTGGTATAGGTGTTTTTATATATCTTATAAGGCCTCCTTATTACGGGAGAGATAGCCTTTACGGACGTGTTACTATAAGGGCGTTTCTTATTATTATCGTTATTAGTAGTATTCTTAGTATTAAGGAGGTTTCTAAGGGTATTAAAGGTGTCTCTCCCTACTCTAGGCTTTATAGCGGTGGATTATAGGCTCTTTATATTACTAAGAACCGCCCGTAGAGCCTTTACGAAGTCGTTAATCGTTAGTTCATTTTCCGTAATCTTATCATAGTTATTGACCAGGTAGTTATTACTCTATTCCTAGGTAATAGGTCTAACGGCTTTTAACGCGTCTTCTACCTAATAGTCCGCGCTTAATAGTTCTAAAACGCCTATATATTTATAGTGTATTATCGTTATTTTCCAGCTTACCACCTAGGCGTCTATATCCTTAGGTATAGCCTTTATAGGCGTAGTGTATCATCGGTATAAGACTAGGGCTTCCTTACGGAGGTTTATAGGTATTAGTCCTGCGTGCGCGTATAGGAGAGTAATCTAGGCCCGCGGGTTATTTACGGTATTATCCTACAGCTAGGTGTGGAGGTCGCGTAATATAGTATATACGGTCCTTTTAATATAGGAGTATACCTCGTTAAACTCCTTATACTACGCGTCGTAGTCTGCCTTTTCCTCGCGGTATATACAGCGATTTTATAGGTAGCGTATACGCCCTTTTTTAAAGAGGTCGTCGATAAATGTAGGCATCCTGGTTAGTGGTTCTTTCGTTACGGCTATAACCTTCCGGCGAGCGGCCGTCTTCCTCTTACCGGTAGCTATAGTAGCGGCTATAGTAGCCGTGGATTCTATAGTATCCGTGGCCTTATCGCCCTTTAGCGTGATAGTGGAAGACGGAATAGCTATAACAGTAGTAGCCGTGGCCTCCTCCGTGTTAGGGTCTACGGCGAGGGCTTTATATTTACGAATATTAGGGGGTATAGATATAAGAAGGAGATAGGCGTTAGCCTCCTTATCGCTTAGCTTTAGATTAAGGTAGTTATCCTAGTAGGTATAACGGCTTGTCAAAAGTTGTTTACGTATTTAGGCCGAAAATATAGATTATTCGAACTAAGGAAGGAAAGGAGGGAAGGAAAAGTCTGCGTAGTGTGTAGGCGGCTAAGTATATATAGAATCGCACAGGCCTCGCTAGGAGGTCCGTGCTTCTTGGTCCCGGCCACTGCCGGGGACTATTCCGCGGGCCACTGCCCGTAATAGTAGGAGGCCGATTTACCGCGTACGGCGCGCTCCTAAACTGCCTAATCCCTCTAGTTAACGAGGGTCGTGGTAGCCGCCTTCTATTCGGCGTTAGATATGTTAGAAGATATCTTTACTAGATTATCGTTTATCGGTTAGTTAATTAATAGGTAGGTTAATTAATCTCTTAATTACTCTGATTAGGTCGATAGTAGTTATTTAAGAGTGCTTATATAGATATAATTACTTTTTTATAGTGGAATAGGGGTAGCCTTATTAATATCTATTATTTAGGCATTATAAACCGGGCTTATAACTGTTATACGTTAAATAGGCACTTAAATAATTAACTTAGTAGAGCAGAAATCTCGTGTGTGTGTATTATATTAAGTTATATCTGGGAGAGTCTCTTATGCCCTTAATTTGGGTGGTGAAGACTCCGTTGTGGGTACTATGTTATTTGGATCCTATCCTGTCTTTTCCGGTATCCACCCTTATTATATCCTGTTGCCCGAAGTCCCTAATATCCGGAGCCCTTAGTTATGGAGTGGATCCCCCCTGGTTCCCCTATGGGCTATATCGTGGTCCTGCCTATGCGATAGCCTTAGCTACTAAGTAAACTGCTACGGTTTCCACGTATAACGGCTAGGAAACTAGTAATAGAATAACTCACGGCTATTAGCGTTATCACGGTTATAATCGAAAAAGGCTATTAGCTGAGTCTTCCGCTCCTATAATATACGCTTAATCTGGCTTATAGTCGTGTTATCGCCGAAGTATATAGGCTACTGTCCCTTAAGATAAACCGGAAGACGTATAATAGGTGGATACTTATAGTGCACAGGGAACTCGAATAACTAAATAACGGCCTCCGCGGGACTAATATAACGACTCTGGAGATAGAGGTTAACCTCGTCTTCGCCCTTTTCGCCGAATATACGCGTAGTTATACGGTCGGTGCCCTTATAAATATACTTATATATATACTTAATCGCCTAAATAGAACCGTAAATATCAAGGTTAGTAAGGTATAGAACGGAGGCAGATATACAGGAGAGAATAACTTACCTTAATAGATCCGTAAATCTTAACGTTAATATAGGCACTATAGCAGAGGCAGAGATACGGGCTATAGGGAATAATAAAACGGTTATTAAGGGGGACCTCTTCTACACGGCCTCTTTTTATAACGTGTAGGCTAGAGTTACGGCGCCTATATTTATGATAACTATCCTCCCGTATAGTCGTCTTTAGGCAGTACGGCTTAGGGAACCGCTTAGAGTACTTTATACGGTTCTTATTATTAGGCTACGGCTATATACACGGTGTAAAGGGCTTATTATCACCGTAAGGACTATATATTATATTCTTACTAATAATAATAAAAAGACGGCTAGTAGGATCCGACTCGCGGTCTGGTAGCTCTATAGAGATAACCTTATCGATATTTATAGGGTCCTTATATATCTTAGCCGCCTGCGGCGTAAGGAAAAGAAGGATATAACGTTATAGAAGACCGCGCTTTTAGTATTCTACGGTTTATATAATCCCCGTAAACTCACTAAATAGACTATCACGCAGCTATTATTCTAGGTTGCGGGACTTTAACTCGAATACACGGCTAACTAAATCGGGCCGGTTATTAGTAGTCTAACCTAGCTAAAGCTCCCGTATAATCTTTAGCTAGGTAGGATTAGCCGTAAAGGTGATAAAAAAGGTCGGAGTGCTAAAAGCCCGTATAATTACCATAGAATCTTAATGATACTACGAGATAAACCTTTAGCCGCTAACGTAATTTAAGGGTAAGACGATCCGTCGGCTAATATTACGGGTTTCGCCGTCGGCCTTATACGCCTAATCCCGTATCCCGTTATATATGTTAGCCCGTATCTCGTTCTAATAGCGCTGGATCCAATTAAGCTTCTTCTAATCGCAGGATATCTATAGGTCCACTAAAAACTACTAAAAAAGACGGCCGTATATAAAGGGCATAAACCTCCACTAGTATCGCGAGTATAGTATATAACGGCAGAATTAATAGAACTTAACCTCGGTGTTCTACCGCTAACAGTTATAAATATCCCGTAACTATAACTGCTAGTAATATCCGGAACCGCCACGCGGATATATAAGCGGGTAAGATAGTAGTAGGTAGGTAGAATACTTATAGTGGATCCGCGTAAGGCCGCCTACGCTACCGTTAGACCGTCTCTCTACGAGGATAATATCACGGTAGCAGACTTCACCCCACTTATCCGGTATAATAGCCGTAACCTTATCCGTAACGGGCAGATTCTCACGCCGTATATTAGCACCCTGCTTAATAACTAATTCTATCCTAGGGTTAAGTATAATACGATATTATTCACGGAGGGAGTTAAAGCGTTCGCGGGCCGTTTTATATATTTATATAAAGGGGTTATACTTATGCAGGAAGTCCGAAATTTCCCCTAGGATACAACGGTTAAGTATATAGTCGAGGTTTTAGGTATTCGTAAGGCGCTAGTCGGTAATAGCCTACGGATTATAAAAGTATAGCTAGATAAAGGCGGGAAGTCGACCTATAGCACTTAATAGCCTAGTATAGTGGTAGAGGGTGCCGTGGATCTAGAAGGCTATCACGCCGCCAGCCGTAGCACCTTAACGGGTCTTAGTATATTATATAGATATAAACGAAAAGGCATTATTATATTAACGGATTCTCTTACGATAATCTACAGCTTAAGCGGTATCCGCGTATAGTAAACGTTAGAAGAAGTCGGGTAGCGGGGAGATAACAGGAACGTCGATATCGCCCTAGTTATAATAGGTGCTAAATTTCGGGTTCGTAGGCGATAATTCCTAAGTAATAGAAGATAATAGCTATTAGCTAACGACTAATAACACGGGATAGAAAACTAACCTATAACTTCTCCCTAATCTAATAGAGCGTAGCGTAATATTTATACCCTACCCGTATTAATCTAAGGTTATAGTAATTAACCGTAATACCCGGCTAATACTATCCTAATAGCCTAATATATTCTTCGCGGCGTCCGCGACGGTCGATATTCGTATTACGCTAGCTAGTATTAACGGCTATTCTCTTATAATAGGCTATAACGCGGCAGGCACTATAGGTATTATACGCGGCACCGTTATGCCGTATAGTAAAATCAATACTCGGAAAGTAACACCTATAGTACGTGTAATAACTTCCTGGGGTAGCCTATAGGCCTTATCTCTACTAATAAGCACGGCGGCGATGTGGAGGAATAGGGGCAGGATCTATTAGAGGGTGGGTTATTGGAACGGGTGGAGGAGGAGCCGCCGAACTTGTAGGAGGTTCTTCACGGGCGGCTTAACGGGCGGCTTAACGGGCGGCTTAACGGGCGGCTTAACGGGCGGCTTAACGGGCGGCTTAACGGGCGGCTTAACGGGCGGCTTAACAGGCGTTTCGGTTAGTTACCCTCGTAGCATAACACATTACATAGGTAGCGTAAATCCTATATACCCGAGGATAATAACCAAAATCAGAAAATGGCTTAAGGTTCTTATAGCCACGGCAGGTTCGCGGCTCTGAATTAGGCTGGCTAACTATATTAACGGCATAAATAACGTAGTATAACGCTATATAAAAAACTCTACGGGCACTGTAGAATACAGGTAGTAGATAGGAGACACGGCGATATAGTCTATACGTCTAATTTACGGGCGATCCGTACTCTAATCCCTTAATAACCTACCGCGGTATTTACGGTAAAAGCTATATAACTTAAAGGTACCGCTGGTTTACGGGCTATATAGCTATATACTGTGAAAGCAAGTCCCCCGAAAGTCCCCCGAAAAACACTACTAAATCCCGTAAAACGGGTCCGGGCGGTAGTACTAGTACGAACGCAAGGCTGGCTATTAACTTACGTAAATTAAAGCGGGCCAGCGTCAGTGCTATACAGCTATATACTATGAAAGCAAGTCCCCCGAAAGTCCCCCGAAAAACACTGCTAAATCCCGTAAAACGGGTCCGGGCGGTAGTACTGGTACGAACGCAAGGCTGGCTGTTAACTTACGCAAATTAAAGCGGGCCAGCGTCAGTGTAGACTTAGATACCTTACCTTACGGAGTAGCTAATACCTAGGTAGCAAGTGCGAAGTGCAAGGCAACCTGGAAGTAGTCAACACTTCCAATGACAACAGACTAAGGTACCTAACAAAATAAGCCAAAGCACTCCAGCAGCCAGCTGAGGTAGACAAGTGGAGGAGGCACTGCGCCCCCATGAAACAGCCACGAAGATGTACTTTATTAGCTCCGTACTCCTTTATGCCGATCCAGGGAAGGGGCTTTTTTTCTTCGTAGACTTATTATTATTACACATACGTCCCACACACCGTGGACCTGGTACTTTGTACGGATACTTCCCGCTTCGCTCTCCACATAATAATTAGTTGTACACTACTTCGTACGTTGTACACTACTCCGCAACTTCGCAAGGACCCCCGGCCCCGGTCCCTCTAAGGTACGAAGTGGTCCTGAACCTAGGTTGGTCGGTTTTAGGGATCTTCCTCCCCGCCTGAATTCCAACCTCTTTCAACCTACGTTCGACTTTACCCTACGCCGTGTCGTTCGCCGCCCGTCCCTCCAGATCGATCCCTTTGTCCTCTTGACTTTGATCCCTAGCTCATTTCAACCATCAGGGACCTGAGGCATGAGGAACGACAATACGAACTCTAGCGCCTCAATACAATACATCCGACGTCCCGACCGTCGTCGACAACCGCAACCACCTTCAATTTAAACAGCGCCCTCTGCCTTATTGACTTGCGAACAACTTCCGAGTCTCGTCCACTTCATTCTTCCTTCGCATCGACTGTTTTCTCCCAATTCGACAGAGAAAAGAAGAGACCAAGTGGACTTCCACATCATTCGGATGAGGTGTACTCCATGATCAACCTGCCTCTCCGCCGTACGGTCCTCTCTTGATCGTTTTTCCGCGTCTCCTCTACCCACCCGCGGCACCGCCTGTTGCCATCTCTATTCAGTCTCCGGGTAATCCTTCTTTGGAGCCTTGTAATCGCGGTTACATACGTATCAATACCACGGACGACAGAACCGGGCTGGCCCTCACAAAACAAGGAAAGAAGAAAAAACCCCATTATACTCTCGGTGGCAAACCATCTCTCAAATCACCTAAATCCGCGTTTGAGAAGTCTATCATCTTCTGTACATGCCAGACCTAGGTATAGACTTTGGTCTCTTTCGCTGAAGAGCTGCCGAGCCGCTCGATTTCGACTCGATTCATTGTTGGGCGGTATCGCTCTCCGTACCCAATATTCTCTCGCCTTCACCGATCGTTGTTTCGAGTCTTCCCGATACCCCACTGCGACGAGTGCCGACCAATAATCGCCCATCTTTATAGCTGTGTCGCGTCCTTCAACCCACCACAGGCCATTGCCAGAGGCTGGACCTGGATTCTCTATCAAGAAGGCGTCATTTGTTGCCTGTTGAGAGTATGGCAAGATACGGACGACCGCTAAGCTTCTCGGAGAGGAGGGGCAGCCAGCTTAGCGAGGACATGACTTTGAATACCGGCACCACGGGCGGAAGCAACCTTAGGGATAAGTTGCCCCAGCTAGTTGGCCACATCCGTGGACCCCCGACCCCCAGCATGAGCACGCCTGCCCCCGATTTTGACCAGCAATTAACGGGTTCCCCTCCTCCCCCTCCCACTCCTGCGGCATCGCCAGGGCCATCGCATGGGGAACTTGATTGGAGTAAAGCTGCCGACGACGAAGACTTCTTCCTCGCCAAGGTCCGCCAACACTTTAAGATGTGTTCCGGCCCAGAGCGCAACCGGATCCTGGGCGATCTCCTGAATCTCTGCACTAGCCAGCAACTGAGCTTCGTCCACCAGTTCGTCAGCCCGTTGCTGAAGAAAGACCCGTTTACAAGCCTCCCAGATGAATTGTGCTTACGTGTGAGTACTGCCGCGTTACTTTTACCAAGATTATAGAGGTTTGCTGATCACAAAACGCTAACGTCCAAAGGTTTTGTCCTTTATCGATGATCCAAAAGTCCTAGCGCGGGCCTCGCAGGTCTCACGCCGCTGGAGGGATCTCCTAGCCGATGACGTGACCTGGAAGAACTTGTGCGTCAAGCACAATTATGGACGTGCGCTTGCGGAATTGTCGGATTCGCAGCAGGACCAACATATTCCCGAAAGTGACACCAATCTCGATCATGTCTCAAGCCATAGTGCTCACCTCGGCTACCCATCTCGCCCAACGTCCCTTGGTTTATCTCGGGACGAAGGGTCGGCGATGTCTTCATCCTCAGACACCCCAGTCATTTTGCGCCAGAAAATAAGAAGCTACAAATCTCACTTCAAGAAGAGATACCTGGTTGAAGCAGCCTGGAAACGCGGAGGTACCCACGTTACTAGGCACATTACCCAGGAGGGCGGGGTCGTTACCAGCTTGCACTTGACCCCGAAGTATATCATCGTGGCCCTCGACAACGCCAAGATCCACGTCTTCGATGCTCAAGGAAACCCTCTGCGCACACTGCAGGGACATGTTATGGGCGTCTGGGCAATGGTCCCCTGGGATGACATCCTCGTCAGCGGAGGCTGTGACCGCGACGTGCGGGTTTGGGACCTGACAACTGGGTAAGTGTTCCAATCATCGTCCAAGGGGAGGTTTCCGGGATGGGCCTTGTAGAGCAATTGACTGACCGGGGGCGACAGCGCTTGCCTACATACGTTACGAGGCCATACCTCTACCGTTCGCTGCCTTAAAATGTCGGATTCCAGGACAGCCATTTCGGGCTCGCGAGATACCACACTACGGATCTGGGACATCCGGGAAGGCGTATGCCGGAATGTCCTTGTCGGTCATGGTGCGAGCGTCAGGTGTCTAGAGATCCATGGCGACATTGTCGTGTCGGGCAGCTATGACACGATGGCCAAGGTCTGGAGCATCTCGCAAGGACGATGTATCCAGACCCTCCAGGGCCATTTCAGTCAGATCTACGCCATTGCCTTCGATGGGAAGCGAGTCGTGACCGGAAGCTTGGATACCAATGTTCGCATCTGGGATCCCCGCACAGCGTAAGTTTATCTGTGTCCTTTTTCTTTTTTGCTTCCTCCTTTCTGTTATCTTTCTGGGTTCTGAATTAACACCCGTCGCAGTGAATGCCTCGCCATCCTTCAAGGTCATACCTCGCTCGTTGGCCAGCTTCAAATGCGTGGCGACATTCTTGTCACCGGCGGCTCCGACGGGTCAGTACGGGTGTGGTCACTAGAGAAGATGTGCCCCATCCACCGCCTTGCCGCACATGACAATAGCGTGACCAGCCTACAGTTTGACGATACTCGGGTCGTGAGTGGCGGAAGTGATGGTCGCGTCAAGATTTGGGACCTTAAGACGGGCTATTTGGTGCGAGAGCTCATTGCCCAAGGAGAAGCTGTATGGAGAGTCTCCTTTGAGGATGAGAAGTGCGTCGCTCTGGCCCTCCGGCAAGGTAGAACAATAATGGAGGTGAGTGACTCGAGATATGAGGGGCAACGCCATGTTCCTTCGGTCTATGGTTCAAGCACGGGGGTACTGACAATGGTCCTGTTCAGGTTTGGTCGTTCTCGCCGCCTCCCGAGGAAGAGTTCACAGCATACGATCGCCAGCTTTCTCTTCAACAACGCTCACTTCTCCCTCATACTCCGCCCCGCCCGCTGAGCGCCATGCAGCTTGATTTCCGGTCAGCACAACAAGCCGTTGCTGGGTCCAGTCGACGATCTTCCGGCGCCCAAGATGTTGACATGAGGGATGCTGGCCCCTCCACGGCTCCGCTGCAGGGTGGCAACCAAACATTCTTCCACGACGATTAAGTTCACGCAACTAGGGCTACGTGCCTAGACAACGTTGCGACTTGGACGGAGCCGATGGTCTCTATCTATCTTGTGCAGTATAAATTAGCAAGCGTGTTTCATGATAGACTATTCGGGAGAGCTGGCTGCTGGAGTAGGTATTCGGGGGTCTGCTCTTCCAAGGAGGCCTGTACTTATCCACTTTGGGCGACTTTCTTCGTCTCATTGTGTATATAGTAATACCATCTTACACTTGGGCGGTGGACTGAACTCGGGGCAAGGACACATACATTAACAAGGCAAATATACTACGGAGTGGAGTGCATCGGGTCATGGTTCATGTTCGTTATCTGCCTGCTTGACTTGAGTTCTCGTGAAGAGTGACGAGCAGGGCTACGAGGGACATCAAGTCCGGCCGAAGTTGAGCCTTTTGTAGCACTTGTGTGTACCTCATCAGTATATGTGAGCTGAGGAAGCTACTTACGCTTCTCGTCTAAGGTACCTAGGTACTCTGTCTAGGTTCTCTTCGGTCCTACCTATCGATTCCGAGTACGGAGTACATGGGCTCGTTCTGACACCTTTCCCAAAAAGCGAAGTAAAAGGTACGCGGGACACGGAGTACACGGGACGAAAATACAAGACCCCTTTCTGACTAATTATATTGACACGGAAACCACTTTCCCCTTTAGCGTGCGGTATTGCACCGCACCAACAGAAACGCTAGAGAAGTCTGTTGAGTGGAGTATCCGTGCGGGTCCTCTAAGCCATTTATGTACTAGCTTCCTTCAACAATAGCTATCTTTCTCAACACCGCGATTTTTCGGAGCTTGAATTGACGAGGGATAATATTATCTCGACAGTTTTCTCTTCTTTCTCCTTCTGCTCCACCACCTTTGCAGTCAACATCGACCGGAGGCTCATTCATCAGCCACGATGTTCTCGAGAGCACTCAGGCTTAACAGGGCGGCTGTGCCCCTGCGCGCCCGCGCCCGCGCCCCTACCCCTTTCCTTCCCATCGCCTCCCGGTCTGTCACCACCGATGCGGCATCGGCGACGCTCGAGAAGGGTGTCCCCCAGGTGAGTACACGGCCATTCGGGGCTATCTCGTCTACAGTCACTATTATCGACATGATGTTCTGCGGGACCAGAACCATCGCTGAGATGGGTCATTGGCCAAGCGCATTAACTAACTCCGGTCCTTCCGTAGTCCGATGACGAACCCTTCTCTATCAACCTGAGCGACGAGAGCTTCGAGACCTACCAACTCGACCCCCCGCCATACACCCTCGAGGTGACGAAGAAGGAGCTTAGGGATATGTACTACGGCATGGTTGTCATCAGGTAAGGATTTAGACGGCATTCCATTGTTCTTTATTGTTCTAGTCGAAGTGGCTGACAGGCGGCTTCCAGACAAATGGAGTTGGCTTCCGACCGCCTGTACAAGGAGAAGAAGATTCGGGGTTTCTGCCATTTGTCCACCGGACAGGAGGCTGTCGCCGTCGGTATCGAGCATGCCCTGACTAAGGAGGACGACCTTATCACCGCTTACCGATGCCACGGTTTCGCCTACATGCGGGGTGCGGCCCCCCGTTCCATCATTGGCGAGCTTCTCGGTCGCCGTGAAGGCATCGCCTACGGCAAGGGTGGCTCCATGCACATGTTCGCCAAGGGCTTCTACGGCGGCAACGGCATTGTCGGCGCCCAGGTCCCTGTCGGCGCCGGTCTTGCCTTCGCGCATAAGTACAACGGCCACAAGAAGGCCACTGTTATCCTGTACGGCGATGGTGCCAGCAACCAGGGTCAGGTCTTCGAGGCTTTCAACATGGCTAAGCTGTGGAATCTTCCCGCTCTGTTTGGCTGCGAGAGTAAGTCATTTCATGTTTCCATATTCGCTTCGACGGGTACCTCCCGTGACCCGTTGCCTGCGAGCCACGAAATGCTGATGATTTTGTCCCCCCCTTCCTTCAGACAACAAGTACGGTATGGGCACTGCTGCCAGCCGCTCTTCGGGCCTGACGGACTACTACAAGCGTGGGCAGTATATTCCCGGCCTCAAGGTTAACGGCATGGACGTCCTGGCTGTCAAGGCGGCCGTGAAGTACGGCAAGGAGTACACCGCGGCGGAGAACGGCCCGCTCGTGCTCGAGTACGTGACGTACCGGTACGGTGGCCACAGCATGTCTGACCCCGGCACCACGTACCGGACCCGTGAGGAGATCCAGCGCATGCGGTCGACCAACGACCCCATTGCCGGGCTCAAGCAGAAGATGCTCGACTGGGAGGTGGTTACGGAGGATGAGCTGAAGGCGCTTGACAAGAAGGCCCGGTCCTATGTGAACGAGGAGGCGGCTGCCGCCGAGGCCATGCCTGTCCCCGAGGCCACTCCCAAGATCCTCTATGAGGATATCTATGTCCGCGGCACGGAGCCTCAGTACATCAGGGGGCGCACTCCCGATGAGGCTTTCTACTTCAACAACTAATCAGCGAGCCACCGTCTGATCCCTAACCTCACCTTTACACCCTTTTTTTACCCCTCCGTTTTCATGCCAGAAACAAAAAGAACTTGCCTCCTCACGCCAAACTGCTTATTATTTCTTGTTCTCTCTTGGGTTCATCACGTCCTGGTTTTCCCCCGTTTGTACATTACCTGCTAGCTAGATGGTGACTTCGGATTCAATGGACGTAATTGAGACGTGACAGTCGCTTTGCTGCTGCGGTCTCTCTTTTTGACCTACCCGGAGCTGGAACGGCTAGACATGTTTTCTCAGACCAGGTCCCAGGCACATGTAGGCTATATGTATTATGTTAGTCTGGACCAGCACGTTGAAGATTATTTCGCCTCTGGGGGTGTCTGGTGGCTCTATTTTCATCACCATCCTGCGTCGCATGCATGAAACGCAAGCTTTTGTTGAGGTACCAAGAGTTTTGAAAAGAGGATCTGAACCGGAGCATCTCGCCATACGTCTCCTTCAGGGTCTTAGATTCGCGGTAGTTTATATACGGAGTACAATACGGCTAGGCTAGCCACCTGGTACTGATACGCCAAGTTAGGAAGGGTAAAGGCACTGTTACCGTTTCGCGTTTAGGGCAGCCTAGGTCACTGAGTAAGGTAAGGTAATTAATTACCTTAAGGCACCGCCGTAAGTGGGGCAGCACGTTACTTCCTTACGTGTACCTTAGTACGTTGGTACTTGTCAATTAACGCGATGCTGCCTGCTGAGGCGCGTCATGCAAGTCGACATCGCGTCCGGCATCACACTCGCTGTGTCCGTGAAGCCCCATCGAACCCCGTCACTGCCTAAAAGTGCATTCGACCGACTGACTTTCCTGTCCCTCATTCCTTATTTGACCTCTAGTTTGAGGCTTCTACCTCAAACTAGAAGCCAAAGTGGCGTTCCGTCTGGTCCCCCGAATTCTTCGCCTCTTAGCTTTCCACGGCCCCATTCTCCGACGATCTGCGATGGCACCGAAACAAGCAACATTAGGGTACGTCAGGTCATCACAGACGACTTTGGGGTGTGTGTTACACATGGGACAATTCTCCTGCCGTCGTAAGGGGCGACTCGCCATCCTTGGCGACAGAACATCTGGCTGGGACTAACAGGTGTTCCTAGCAAATTCTTCGGCCAAAATGGCTCTAAGCCGGAGCCGCGTCAAAGCAAATTGAGCTTCTCCACCAAGAGCGACTCGAAGAAAGACGACAAGTCGAACACCGCCTCAAGACAGAACGGTGGACCGTCTCTTTCCAGCGCGAAAGAGAAGGAGGAGCCTAGGAGTGGGTGTCCAGACCTACTTTCAAATCAACTCTGTGTTGTGGAGTCTGCAAACCCAGACTGACCGTTTTCCTTTGCAGAATCGAAGAAGCGCGCGCATGATGATTTGGAGCAAGGTGCGGGTGACTCCAAGGGTAGTGTCAAGGTTGAGAAACGCGAGGCTATCGACGACGACGATGATGTCCCCGTTGCGAAACGTGCTCGACGAGCCCGCAATCGAATCGAGGACGATGAAGACGAGGTCATGCAGGACTCACCGGGTCCCGTATTGAACGCCTGCAAGAAAGAGGAAAAGAAACAAGTTTCAAGACGCAAATCGCCATCCCCTGCCCCTTCTCCACCCATCAAGGAGGAGACGGGGGACGATGTCGAATCTGCGGCGTCAGCCGAAGTCGAGGATGATCTCGCCGCCTCGTCATCCACAGAATCCGAAATCGAAGACGGCGCCGAGGAAGCTCCGCAGAAGAAGGGGAAGAAGGCAAAGGGAAAGGATGTAAAGTCCACCGCCAGAGCACTGGGAGAAATCACCGCCAAATCGAAAGATCCATACCCCGACTGGAAGAAAGGAGACCCAGTCCCTTATGCTGCGCTCTGCAAAACCTTCTCCCTGATCGAACTCACCACCAAGCGACTCGAGATTATGGCCCACTGCTCCAAGTTCCTCCGACAAGTTCTGCGCCTGACGCCGGACGATCTGCTCCCCACCGTACTTCTCATGATCAACAAACTTGCCCCTGACTACGCCGGCATCGAGCTCGGCATTGGCGAGTCCCTCATTATGAAAGCCATCGGAGAGACGACCGGTAGGTCGCTGCAAATCATAAAACAAGACCAGAAGGAAATTGGAGACCTCGGCCTCGTTGCCGTCAAGAGCAGGTCAACTCAGCCGACCATGTTCAAGCCGAAACCCCTTACCGTTAGAGGGGTGCATAAGGGGCTGATGGGCGTCGCAACCGTCATGGGGAACGGTGCCCAGGGCCGGAAGGTCGACGGGATCAAGAAGCTGCTCTCCGCTGCTGACTCCAATTCCACCGGCAAGGTCGACATCACCAAAGACAAGGGCGGCCCTAGTGAGGCCAAGTACTTGATTCGTTTCCTCGAAGGCAAACTTAGACTGGGCCTTGCCGAGAGGACTGTTCTCGTATCTTTGGCGCAAGCGGTGGTGAACCACGAGGCTGCCCTGAAGGGACAGGCCGCGAGTCCTTCGGACGTTGAGAAGGCCGAGGCCATGCTCAAGACCGTATACAGGCATGTGGACTCTTTCCCTATTTTCTTCTCCCTCTCTCCCTCTCTCTCTCCCTCTCGTGCACATTATCTGCCTACTGACACACTACACCTGCATCAGTGAGCTTCCAAGTTACGACGTCATCATTCCCACCATGGTCGAGCATGGCATCATGAACCTCAGAGACCATTGCAAGTTGAAACCCGGTGTTCCCCTCAAGCCCATGTTGGCCAAGCCAACCAAGGCCATCACGGAAGTGCTGGATCGCTTCGAAAACCAAACTTTTACTTGCGAGTACAAGTACGACGGCGAACGAGCCCAGATACACTACGTTGCCAAAACCGCCGACGAGGAGCTCAGTCAATCGTTGCCCGGGGCGACCAAGGAAGCGGGCGATGGAGTCGCCAACATCTTCTCCCGGAACTCGGAAGACCTGTCGAAGAAGTATCCGGACATCCTGGCCAAGCTGCACACCTGGGTCAAGCACGACACGCAGAGCTTTGTTCTGGACTGCGAGACGGTGGCGTGGGATATGACCGAGAAGAAGGTCCTGCCTTTCCAACAGCTCATGACGCGCAAGCGAAAGGATGTCAAGGTCGAGGACGTCAAGGTCAAGGTGTGCGTGTTTGCCTTTGACCTCCTCTATCTCAACGGAGTGCCGCTGGTGAAGAAGTCGCTCCGGGAACGGCGCGAGTTGTTGACTCGGGCTTTCGTTCCTGTCGAGGGGGAGTTTGCCCTTGCCACGCATATGAATGGTCAGGAGCTCGAGCAGATCCAGGAGTTCCTGGACGAGAGTGTCAAGGCTTCGTGTGAGGGTCTCATGGTGAAGATGCTGGATGGCGATGAGAGCGGGTACGAACCCAGCAAGCGCAGTCGGAATTGGCTCAAGGTATGCTCTCCCTCTTATCTCATTCTTCGGTTTTATTCTTCTTTTTCTTTTCTTCTTTTCCCTACGTTTTTGCACTTGTCCGCGAGGCAGCATACTGACTTCATCTGCTTTCTTTCTTCTTCCGTAGATCAAGAAAGACTACCTCTCGGGCGTAGGCGACTCCCTCGATCTAGTCGTCTTGGGCGCATACCATGGCAAGGGAAAGCGTACATCAGTCTATGGCGCCTTTCTGCTCGCCTGCTACAACCCTTCATCCGAGACGTACGAAACGGTGTGCAACATTGGCACGGGCTTCTCGGAAGCCGTCCTCGAGGAACTCCACAAGCAGTTGTCCGCCATCGTCATCGACAGGCCGAAGCCTTTCTACTCGCACTCCGCCGGCGGTCAGCACCAGCCCGACGTCTGGTTCGAGCCGCGCTTCGTCTGGGAGGTCAAGACGGCCGACCTGACGCTCAGCCCGCGCTACAAGGCGGGGTGCAAGGAAGGGGTCGACCCTTCGGGCGAGAAGGGCATATCCCTTCGGTTCCCGCGGTTCATCAAGGTGCGCGACGACAAGAAGCCGGACGAGGCGACGAGTAGTCGGCAGGTTGCCGAGATGTACCGTAAACAGGAGGCCGTGACGAAGAACAAGGGCCCTGCCGTGGATGATGACTTTGAGTACTGAGTAACTGGTTAGAAATCATCAACCGCGGGGAGGGGAGGTCGGGTTCCCGAGTTATATAAGTGGCAAAAGCAGGCCGGTCGGTGCTCTTTCGCAGCCTTTCCGTCAGTGTATTTATTTATGCACTTGTCTTCTTCTGGTGACGGGAGTTCAACGGGCCAACGGGCGTACAATGGGACTTGAAATGTGTTTCCCTTTGCCTCGTGATTGTTTAGGGATAGAGGGCGCGTTACTTTGAAATAAAAAGCATGGATGGCATCGAACTGGACAGCCCTTTCTTCGCGTGTGCGGGACAGTACTCATGTCGAAAAGAAAAGACTGAAAAAAATCATCTCTAATGGACTTCTATATATCTGCACAAAAAAAACAACGAGTACCCCCGACAATCATAACATCGGCCCTCTGTCAACAGCCTGGCTAACACCCTCTTCGTGGTCATGACCCGCCAACAGCATCTCGTCATCACCATGCGCCGCAGCGTCCCCCGATACACCCGGTCCGACGCCGCCACTGCCGCCGTGCGCACCGGCAATGCCGATACCCGTGCCAGCGGTACCCCTCGTCTCTTCGGCTCCGTTGAGCACGTACCAGACGTCCTTCTTGGTGAGGAGGCCCTGGAGGGCGCCGCGGTCGGCGAAGAGCACGTAGCGGAGACCGAGTTTCTGGAAGTAGGAGACGACGAGGTGGAGGCTCGCGCGGGAGGGGAGGGTGATGGGTGTCTGGTCCATCCAGGGGCGGAGGTCGAGGGTGGTGCGGGGGTCGGCGAGGGGTTGGTGGGAGAAGAAGGCTTCCGTCTCGGGCGGGAGGGAGCGCGGGGGTTGGGTCGAGGAACGGAGGTTGTAGGACAGCTCGGCGCGGGAGATGTAGCCGAGGAGGACGGCGTCGCGGGGGTCGGAAATGACGGGAAAACCCCGGTGGGGGTGGGTTTCGAGGATGGAGGTCAGGGAGGCGATGGTATGGCCCGTGGCAGTGAGAACAATGAGGTCCTCGATGCGGGTCATAATCTGCGAGGCGGGGATGTCCGGGATGGTGGCAGTTTCGGCGTCGGAGTTGTCGAGGAAGGGGTACTCGTTGAAATGGATCCAGGCGTCGTAGATGCCGCGGCGCGAGAAGGCGTCGCCGACCCATTTGGAGATCATGACGGCCACCATCATAGGGAGGACGTACGTCAGGGCGCCGGTTAGCTCGAACATGATGACCACGATGGAGACGGTCATGCGAGTGACGCCGGCCAGGGTGGCGGCCGCACCGACGACGGCGTACGTGGCTGGGTTGACGCAGGGAATGTCTGGCTCGCAAGACAGGAACGGAACAAAAGTTGGGAAGCTGGCAACCCAAATCTCCATTAGAATGCCGACGGCGCGGCCCGTCAAGGCGCCGATGGCCATGGAAGGGAGGATGATTCCTGCTGGGAGCTGCAAGCCGAAGGTGACGGCCGCCAGGTAGAAACCCAGGATAGCAGCGAAAAGGAGGAGCACAATCGTGGTACCGGAGGCGGCCCCTGTCTTACAAAGACCCATGGGGTCTTCCCTGACCTGATCACACTCGATGAAAAGATTGGAAACGAGATCTGAGGACTGAAGTTTCATGTAGAAGTTGGGATAGTTGGTAAGGGCGGTCAGGAGGGCAACAGCCACGACCTGGACGATAGGGCCTGGAAGCCAGGAAGTGTTCTTCTTCCAGCGAGCAACAGCCATGTTGGCCTTGATGAATAGCCCGCCATAGACACCCTAGAATGAGAAGGGGCCAGACGCTGTTAGCGCGGGCCGTGAAAGGAGGGAAACGGCGGGGGTTTTGTTTTGTAGTGTGGGCCAACATACCCCTATTATCCCGAGTATAGCATAAGGGACAATCTCGAAATCTGTCCATTCTGTACTGAATTTAGTCTGGTAAAGGACAAGCTGTCCGGATCGCAGAGGATCGACGGCCTGGAGCATGACGGCTGCTGTCATGGCGCATACGAAGCTTTGCCACATAGTCTTGTCTGGAAAGTAGTACGATATTTGCTGAGAATTGCACGTTAGAACGGGGGACGACGTCGTAAGTCAGGGGACGCGGAAGGCCAGGTACCTCGAGTGAAAACAGGACGCCTCCGATGGGAGAGCCGAAGGCGACGGAGATGCCAGATGCCGCTGCAGCGGACAGAACTTCTCGCTTCCGAGCTGTATATGCGGTTAAAACAGAAGAGACCAAAGACATGTGGAGAAACGATGATGGACATGCCTTCATTGCCTTTGATGGCGGGAAACAGTTTGATAAATAGGTTGGCGCAGCAGCAGGCCACATGAACCAAGGGGCCTTCCTTGCCTAGCCACATGCCCGAGGCCACGGCAAGGCACTATAGAATACACGGCCTGGGTTAGAAACAAGTCATGGCCTAGTACAGGAGAGTCTCAGAGAGGGAGATATGGCATACCAAACCCAGAGACTTGGTGAGGAGCGTCCATGCGCCGAGGAATCGACGTATAACAAAGCCGCCGAGTACCGTCTTGATCTCGGGTATACCGCTATGTCTCGCATAGATGCCATATTCCTGGACCAGAAAAGCCGCCACGGACGCCCAGAAGACCTTTTGGTCGTGATTTTGGTCAGTCAAGAGTCCTTTGGGATAAGCTGACGCTTCTCATTTGGCGGGAGGGAGAAAGAGAGGACAGAAGAGGGAAAAGATGGGGGACGCACCGCAAAGAAGAGGTAGAAGAAATACTCGAGAAACCACTGCCCACTGGCCGAGGTCACTCGCAGCGCCTTCGCCCAAGGTGTCCAACCCTTGCAGTTGGAGAGCTCGTCGTAGCCATAGCAGCAGAACGACCTGCTCAGGTAGAAGGCTCCGCCTTCGGGCCCGCTGGCGCAGTACCCCAGCTTCAAATCCCCCAGCCAATCCGCCGTAACGTTGATACCTGCCGACGCAGCCCCGACGGCGAGGCCCGTGAGGATCAGAATGACCCATACCTGGCTGGCATCGGCGAACTGCTGCGCTATGCCCAGCAAGCCGCGCCCGCTGGAGCGCAGCACGCGCAGCCTCTGGCGCTCCTTTGTGTATTCGAATATCCAGTCGATGGCCGTCAAATCTTCGTAGCCGACGCGACGGCCGGGCCCTTCGACGTACCAATCCAACGGTCCTCCGTCTTTAGGCCCTTGATTGAGGTTGTGTGGGGTGCCCGTGGTAGGCCCTGAACTCGGAGGCGCGTGGGCGTCGAGTCCGAAGCTGTGTCTCGGAGTCATCGATTGAGGGGTTGACTGAGGCGAGATATTGGACGGGCGACCGGCGAGGGCCGAGAGGAAACGGGCGGGCGCGGAGAAGAGACCCTGTTTCTGTCTCCGTTTGAAGGAAAGAGGTCCGTCTAGGCTCCCCCGGATGGGGTCCTGGGCGAATATGTCTGCTTCGGCCTCCCTCCGAGTATTGAAATTCGAATCAAAGTCTCCATCGTCTCCGTCTATGAGAATATCGTCTAGCTCGTCTCGGTCGTCGGGGTTTGGCGGGCGCATGCTTCTATGATTCGGGTTCGGGGGCGGGTTCGGGGGCGGGTTCGAGGAGCGAGACGAGGATGAGGAGGGGGCATTTGGGTCATTGCTGAAAGGGCCAGCCATTATGGTCTGCTGGCTACACACGTATCCCCTCGGGCTTATGTTGGTCGCATCCTCTCATGTCGGTACATCCCCGTCCAGACGCTTGAACTTGCGGAGGGTGAGGCGATGGGGGTCCTGAGTAGGCGACAGCCGTGTCATCTGTGGCTGGAGCGGAGAGGACAGAGTGACAAGGCTGGGCAGTTCGGGTCGAGTCGGGGAGAACAAGCCACTTCCGCCGAGTGGCGCACCGCTAAGATAAGCTGATTGCAAGCTCCCAAAAGGTACGTCACTCGCGCCTCCCTGGATTTGTTCACTCCACTACCTACCTTAAGGTACCTTAAAGGTACCTTACTACCTTACCTTATTCTCCACACCATGATCATGGTTCATACAGTACAATATTTGACGACCTGAATGCCATTGAATCCATCTCCATGTCGCTGTTCAATAAAAGGGTGGCAGAAAACAAAAGAGAATGGTATACGTCGCAATCCGGGGCATATCGAACATGATTTAAAGAAGCCACCTAGGCTTAACCGCTTAACCCGGCTCTCTCATTCCACCAGGGGTTGATTAAGATCATCTCATCATCTCATTTCAGCGTACGTCCGAAATGGTCGAGGGGCAAAAGTCATCAGACAAGGGGAAAGGCCCAGACATTGGAGATGGACCTCGCGAGGACAACGGACCTGAAGCGTCTCAACCGAACAGCACGATTCTCGACAATATCCGGTCGTCTCTGAGGCGCAAGGATGACACCTCCAGGTTCGTGGGGTTGACCATGCTCAGGGCTTTCCTCGACTCGTCATCCGAGCTTCGGAGTGATCCTGATATCCTCCTCTCACTTTGGGAAGCCATTTCTCCCAAATTCCTGGATCGCCTCATCAAATCTAAGAACGTCCAGGGACAGGGCGATAAGTCCACGTACCCTACGTTAGACCTAGGAGTGTTGGTCATTCACAGGTTTACGCTATTGCTCCCCGAGCAGGCCAAGAGAAGCGACGGGCTCGTAGGGAGAATCCCAACATTGGTGGATGCCGTTCTACGTAGGTGAGTAACGACCCAGCGGTTGTTGATCTGACCTTCGACTGAGCCACTCGAACTCGTCTCGGACTGATAAATCCCTGTAGCTCCGAAGAAACGACTCAGCGCATTGTACAGACATTACTCGAACTCGTCACCTTCCATGAAGGGTCTGCTGCGCTGATAAGCGTCTCTGACCTGAGCCCCTTGGTTGAGGTTGCACCGAGCCAGCGCCTGGTCCTTAGTATCTTCGATCGTGCGTGGCTCAACTGCATGGCCGCCGGTCATGGCAAGACGCCCCTCACAGGGAGTATCGACCAGACCATCCAAGGACTTGTATCCGCCTTCAAAGGCACCGACGGCGTAACTTTTCTTCAGTTCCTCGGAGACTTCCTTCGAAAATCCCAACCAGAGGTAAGACCTGGCCCCAGATAATCGATGCGAACAGGGAAGAAGAAAAAGTAAAAAAAAGTAAAAAGTAAAAAACCCCTCCAGCTAACAAGTGGCCTCCAACCCAGGCACTGCCTCCCCATCCGAGATGGATCCAATCTGTTGTCCAACTCGTCCGGAATCTCCTGACGAGCAGACCCAATCCAGCTGCCCGAAACGCTTATACCCTCGTCTCCGCCTCCCTGCTCGAGGTCTACCCCGCCGACGCGTCTCGGCTTCTCTTCACCACGGATGTCAAGGATGACAAGCCCTTCGCTTACCTGCTCATCACCTTGATTCTCACAGACATTCGGGCAACCATCCCCCGTCTGCTCTCTCTCCTCAACGATCCCAGCTATCCCGACACGGCAAAACAAATAGGCTCGGCCTTCGACATTGTCACCCATTTCGTCGGTTATCTCGTCAGGTCCATAGACGCCTTAGTAAACGAGGATACCGAGAATGAGGACATGTCTATCATGCTGCCGGCCGAATTCCTTTTGAAGATCAGGACAAACATCACGGAGACCATGTCACTGACCATTGAGTTCCTCCGGGACAGGTGGGACGCCTCGGTTGCCGGCGCCATGGGCCTGCACCCTGACGCACGTCCCGGCGCCGCCGAGCACTGGAAAGGCTACCTTCCCATTTCCTGGGAGTCGACTCGGGACGTTGTCGACAACGACCCTCTGATCCTTGCCGCCATACGGGCCCTTGCCCTCTGGCTCCGCGAAGATGACAACAAGCAGCTGCGCAAGGAGTCTGCGGGCCTGACGGACCTGTTCCTGGACCTCTACGAGAGTAGCAGCAGCAGCAGCAGCAGCAGCAGCGACAGTAACAACAACGACAACAGTATCACTGCGGATCGCCTCGACTTCCGTTCCGCCGTGCTCGTCGCCTTGGAGGGCGTCATGGTCGAAGAGAAAGGCATACACGCGTTCATCAAGAACGAGGGCTGGAAGATCCTCTCGAAGGATCTGTTTAGCATCCTTCAGGCGGTTTCAACGGCAACGGCATCGGCATCGGCATCGGCATCGGCTGCAGACCACCTACGTCGCGATAGTGAGGCCGTCCGAGGCCGGGAGATCGTCCGCGTCCTCCTCGCCTTCGTTGAGTCTGAGGAACATGGGACAGAAGAGGATTGGATGGGCGTCATAACGGCTGTTGCTGCTTGGTCGCCTCCTGACGATGCTTCGCTGCCCCTCGTCGTGCAGGAGTTTTTGGCCGCCGTGCTGCAGCTTGCCACGGCCCTGCTAGCTAATGCTCACGACGGGGTGAGAAAACGATATGCATATTCGACCAGCGCCATAGTCGGAATTGCGACGCAGCTGCAGGAAGGTTTGGACGGCGAGGAGGGGAGGGAGGCGGGCGACGGCGGAGCATTGAGGGAGTCGTTGGACGACGTTTTCGCGACGCTGGGGTCTTTGGACTAGGTTATCACTTTGTAGGGGTCGTGGGAACTCATGGTTGGGTACAATGTGGCCGGTAATCTGTATTGTTGGGCAACCTTTGAAACCGAGGACGTATCTGCCACCCACTACATGGCGTGGGCAAATTATAAAGATGGCCACCATAGCTACACTGAGAAATGTGCATCTTCAGAACCATGACTAGACTATAAGGCCATGGCGACAGTTAAGAGGTCTCTTCCACTGGACTACAAGCTGCTTCAGGAGATGGAACTTGCGTGCGGCTCGCCTCCGAATCTTTATCACATGCCGGCGTCACCGCAGCGGCAGCGGCAGCGGCTTTAGCCTTGGCCCTCTTCTTGCGAGCCCTGCGGATCTCAATCTCGAGATGCTGCAGTTCAGCGTTGACGGTGACGAGGCGGGGGATGATATCTTGAACGGCGCGGACCGCTTGGGATTGGGCTTGCCGTAATGTCATAGGAGCTAATATGCCATACCAGTGGATGGGATCACGATGCCTTGGTTTGGTTCTAGTGGTGGTGTCCTCGGAGGCCTCTTTGGGCGGTTCCCCGCCTTCCTGCTGGTCGTCGACCGGGAGAGATGAGGCGTCTTCTGTTTTCGTGTCCGTGTCAACCATGCCTTCGGTTGGTGGCATGGTGACTTCAAAGCGAGGCGGTGAGCGGTCGTCCTGGCGCCTGATGGTGAGAGTCCGCGAAGCTTGCATTCGGTCGTCATAGTAGTCCTGGCCGTAGCGCATGCCGCGTTCCGCGGTGAAGTTGGCGCGGGCCAGGTTTTGATACATGGCAGCCTGTGCCTTGCCGAGAGAATCACGGAGGGTGGTGTACTCGTCGAGAAGGTCCAGATACCGCTCGAGAAGCTGCTCAATGCGCGGGACGTCGTGCATCATCGTTGCGGGTTGCCGGACGCGATTTTCTTTTTCTTCTTTTCCCAGTGAAGCAAATAGGGAGAGAGGTTGTAGATGGGCGGAATCGTTTGACCCGGTGCTTTACCAACTGAGTCTGATGACTGCTTGGAAAGGTAGGAGGGTAGTTCACCAGATGCAGGTGATGGTACTTTACAGAGAGTGAAATGTGCAGCCGGTAAACAACAGAAGGTAGCGAACCCAAGAGCGGCCGCTGAAGTTCGATGGACGACGTTCGATTCTGACGTTTGTGGTTTGTTGAGGATGAGTGTAGCAACGGGGTTCCAGATATATTGCAGGTAGCGGTACAGGTTTGGCTAAGGCACTGCTTAGAAAAGTCCGCGTGTATCAGGACGGGATGAAGTACAAAGACCGGGTCTCTAGCTGTCGGCATCTTAGTCAACTTCATCCACTTCATTGTCCAATCCGCGGGACCTCAAGTCCCAGTTGTTTCCGACTCACATACTCTTCTTACCTCTCTTCTCGGTGCAACCACCTCAGAAGTGGTGTCGTATCGTATAAGTGCTCAAGGAATAAATAGACGGTGCCGCTGGCCATTTCAAGGACCAACACAACGTCGAGTTATTAACAGGCCAATCGGCCTGAACGTCTTCCCCGTCCAGTGCCCAGTTAGCCCGTGGAGGCAGACAAAGAGGGGAGGGGAGGCGGGCGAGGGAAACAATCTGGTCTGCATAAACCCGAGGTGTATTTCGCTTCAGCTTGCGACAAAGTCAAGAAGAGTGCGAGGCATGGGGCGCACAACAGGACGGGCGCCGGTATTATTAGGCCGAGATCGACGCAATGGTTGGACCCCAAAGTGACTACACAAAACACATTGGGGTTGACGCCGGGTTACAATGAGTACCTAAGGTAAGGTAGGCGAGGAAGGACAGAGATTGGACACTGAAGATTGTGCATTCTACGTGTACCTAAGGTACCTTAGGTACGTAGGTGCGATATTTCATGAGATGGGAACAGGTCAATGACTCGGACTTGCGCCCCACCACCGTCCTAGAGGAGCGATAATGATACCTAAGAAGAACCGGCCTCTTTTTTTGTCCCTTTTCTTTTATTGTATTCGTTTCGTCAAACATCATCCGCCCACCACACAACGATTTGAGCAAGCTTTCCGAGTCATTGGCCCTAACTGACATAGGTATTTATATGGATGGGTGCACAGAGACCTACGCGTCCGTGTCACAACGGATTATACTTCTACAACCGGTAATCATCCACCGACAGTTGAACATGCATCGGTTGGTTTGTCTGTCCCTGATGTACCGTGTGCAAAGTATACCGTATGTATAACCAAGCCCGACTTGTTTGGCAAGTTCTTCAAATCATGTATGATTCAATTCAAGGGTATCTGCCCTTTAAAGGTACTTCTATTACAGTGCTAAATATATATACATCTTTATTTTTTATTTTTGTTTCGTTCCCGGATTCTTGCGCTTCTCTCTGTCTGCCTGGTATCTAATAAGTTAGGGATTCAATGGGGAGACCTCACGTTTCAATATCGAGACCTCACACGTGACATTCTAGTGGGGCCATGACGCCACCGCCAAGATGCGTATGTACCGCACCTATTTTGTATGTACACATTATGTAAATAATCGTAGGTAACATAGTAGCCAACTCAATCTCAACACTCAATCCCATTACTCAAATCTTAATACTTATCTCGGAGCCGTAGGCGGTTATTTTATATAGGATATCGTGTAGGATATCGTGACTTATTATTATAGTGTTTTGGGCGGTTGGATTCAGAGTTACGGTGTGGGAAGTGATACGTTAAGGTTTACGATGTCGCCTGCGATTTTCTACATAAAGTGTACATACAAAATAGGTGCGGTACATATGTATCTTGGTGGCGGGTTCATGGCCCCACTAAAATGTCACGTTTGAGGTCTCGATATTGAAACGTGAGGTCTCCCCATTGAGTCCCATAAGTTATTACTTTATCCTTCGAATATGATGAATGGCTATTGAAATACAACGTACCTTATACTAAGTACGTTAATATTGCTCTGGGCATAGATAAGTAGCTTTGACCTCTTATTCTTCTCGAATATCCAGAAGTCCTATTAATTGGAGCCCTGATGCTCTCTGATTCGATGCTTTCGTTTATTCGCAATCCATGCCTCTAAACTTCGCTATCAGAAGTATTTATGGGGACTATACGATATCGTGCGAAGTACTTTGTGTAAGCACTCGGACTTTTCGGTACTTAGCTGCCTTACCTGGTACTAACACGTGTGACCAAACCATTTTTATCCGCTAGCTCCAGTACCATCGTCTCCCAGGGCCCTGCTTTGTCCATTGAGCCCTCCCCTCTCACCTTCCTAATCTCCTTCCCCCAGTCTCTCCTCCAGCCAAATACCACCTCGCCTCGTGTTATATTTGACGATTAAGGTAGAATCAAGAGCGGTGGCTTAATTGTTAGCGCCTGGTTCCTCGCTACCTCTTATAGATTTTTCCTTTATATCCCCTCGACACTGAAGGGACTGTTATTAGCAAGAGCCTTCCCTCACAGACACTTCGACACCAAGTCCTAGCAAGGCGAACATCGTGTATCACTATCGCTGCCCGTGCCTCCCCCCCCTTACCCCCAAAATTTCGACTCCACCACGCGGAAACACCGCTTGGCCTGCCACACCCTATCCCCGGTTCCCCTTCACCCCGTCACCTTGTTCCCCCATCCTAATTACTTCCAGCCGGTGCTAGCTCTCGATTGCTGCAGCTATTTGCTGCCTGCTGGACCCCCCAACCTTAAAGTCGCCCAACCTTAGCACTTGCTCCCCTGCCATTTTCTTATAACCGTACCTCGAGTTAATCCTTGGTCCTGTCTCCTAATTATCTTCATCACCGCCTCCTGCCTGCCCACCATCCAATCTTCAAACAACATCCACCGTCCATCATAACAATCCGTATCGTCGCCAGACTTCAAACCGCCAAGACAGCCATAGACATCATTACGTCGACACGAGTATCAGTATCGGCAACGACACAAGCGCAAAGAATACCTTAAGAAAAAGAAAGCGACCTGCACTTGGTTTTATCTTGCAGCTCCTCCAGCGGAGCATCCTCTACTTTCCACAATGGTGGTTGCAACTATCAAGTTAGTCATGCCTTTTATATTCCGTGAAGATCGCGCACCTATAGTCATTTGCCCCCAGCCTTTTATTCCCAAGCAAAAGCTTCGTTCGACTGCCCTTTTATCTTCTCCTGCCTTGATGCACACTGCACTGCACCCAGGCCTTAAGTACCATTCCATCTTGTCCTAGTTGTATGAGCGCGCAGTTCTTTCTCCTAGACATCATGGAGCCTAATCCATTCCCACCAATCATTTACTAACTTATGTTTTCTACAATCTAGGTGCGTGGTTGTTGGCGACGGTGCAGTCGGCAAAACTTGTTTGCTTATCAGCTACACGACCAACAAGTTCCCCTCTGAATATGTCCCGACTGTCTTTGACAACTATGCTGTCACCGTCATGTGAGTCGCCCTCTCGCGAAAACCTCTCCGTCGCTCTATCTTTCCATTGGCCGAGAAGCACCAGCCACGAGCTCCGACTACCCGACGGGCTTGACGATTTGATATGAAACTCTTGATGCACTCGTGCTGCCTTCCCTTGTCGATGGGAACATGGAGAATTGGAGAGGGTAACACCATCCGGACTAACAAGGGATTGTTCCAGGATCGGTGACGAACCATACACACTGGGACTGTTCGATACAGCCGGCCAAGAAGATTACGATAGGCTACGGCCCTTGTCATACCCTCAGACAGATGTCTTCCTCGTCTGCTTCAGTGTCACGTCTCCTGCCTCCTTCGAAAACGTGCGCGAGAAGTGGTTTCCCGAAGTACACCACCATTGCCCCGGAGTCCCCTGCCTGATTGTAGGCACCCAGGTCGATCTGAGGGACGACCCCAGTGTGCGGGAGAAGTTGGCAAAACAAAAGATGCAACCCGTGCGGAAGGAGGATGGCGAGAGGATGGCCAAGGAGCTCGGAGCGGTTAAGTACGTTGAGTGCAGCGCCCTCACGCAGTACAAGCTGAAGGATGTTTTTGACGAGGTATGTACACTTCACCCACCTTCCCTGAGGCCAGAGAGAGAACAAATTTCAGGCGTATCAATTGAGACTGTGTGTCGACCCGACTGACAGACGACCAGGCCATTGTTGCGGCACTAGAGCCCCCTGTTGTTAAGAAGAAGTCCCACAAGTGCTTGCTTCTTTAGACGTTGCGACGCGACGGTTGACCTCGCGATTTTCGCCTGTTGCCGTCTTCGCTTGATCACTTTTTTTTTTCGACTTTCTTAGCGGAACGATTCGTCACCCTAGGCGAGCGAACGGGCCGCTCTCTGTTACATTTCTTGGGTGCGCCCTCCACGAGTGCTGGGAAAGAAAGTAGACCTGAACAGGGCTACCATAACCAGTACAATTCCGGAATCCAAGAATATGACCAGAGTTACTTGTGACTACATGAGCCAGCCAGTTGTGATTTTGCCTTTGGGGTAGGGAAATGGAAAGGAATTAGTCTCACGATGCATTTTGCGGACCTTGGATTTTGCGCTGCAGCAACAGTGGTGACTCGGGGCTCGTACAACTTAGTCCGGCCTACATGTCAGTCCCGGGGGGTCATAGATGCGTTGCTTTCTATACTGGCACCGCATCTCCAGAGAGATCTGGCGATCCTGTCCCCGCAGCTTTCTTGCCCAGGCCTGAGTATAGGCGTTCTCCATCTCGCCATTTTTTTTTTCTTTTTAAAGACGTTTTCTTTTGAGTTAGGGTAGCTTTGGTCAAACGCTGGCGAGACGGGAATGCTTTAGGACAGTTCGGCGATTGGAGTGACTTAAATCAACTTGCAGCTTATTTGCCCCTTTGCATATCTTTTTGGTCCATCCTCTTCTCTTTTCGAAGGGCCATACTCCTAGTCGGTGTGACGATAGGCTGGTGTTGAAGCCTACCTACCTTACCTAAGGTAGCCCTACATAGTTTGTGTATCGTTGCCTTCACGCGGGTATCGGGTACCGCACCCGTGATAGAACTAGGGTCCTCGCGCTTTGGCTTCCAACTCAAAGTAGGTGAATGCTAATATCATGAGAATTAGGGGTCGGCATCGAGACCACGTCGCTCGAGGGACGTTAGGTTCTGATGAAGTGACTGGATGCCATTCGTCGTACACGCAGCATTTCTCCTGCTTTTGCCAAGGAAAATAGCTTGTCCGACAGGGTTCTAGAAAGGTAGGCACTGTTTAATTATGCCTTTCCATACCTGCATTGTCTTGGGAACCTCGAGGCAAACTGACGATATTCAGTTGTGGTTTATAAGCGAGTCATGGAAGGAGCTGTGGTGACACTTGCCCCGGAGCCACGAGTGCCGTTCTCGTTTGCTCAAGTACCCTACCTTACAATGTATTAACTATTATCCGCACCTTAGGCTTTTCCTTCCAAACATCGGTGGAACAAATTCACGAAGTACCTAGCTCCCCCCGTGTGTTGTCCGTCGGACTGACTCATTTCACCAGATAAGGTAGGTACGGAGTCGTGCTTCTTATCTGGAGTACAGGAGATACCGCACTGCACCTTCCTACGAAATAGCTATGACTACCCCGCCATCAGTTTGCTAACGCCCTCCCACTTCAAATAGAAGGGGGGAAAAAGGAGACCAAAAAAGAAAAAGAAAAAAAGAAGAAGGAACACGACACGATAAGGTACCCTCAATAACACGTTGATCCGAAACCTCGCATCAACACATTTCAGTTCAATTTCACGGGCCCGATATTAATCGAGTGAAGGGCCATTCACAAACCCCCCCTTCTACCCTATCTATAACCACGATCTCCCTTCTAGCCACCAACCAAATTCTTCCACAATGGCAGCTGTGCAGGAGCTCGCCGAGCGAGTCAAACATGATGGGGAGAAGGTTTTTATTGACACCGACTCCGGCTCTGACGAAGCTGCTGCGGACGGCTCCGAGACCGCCCCCTTCAAGACCCTTGCTCATGCCTACGTCGTCAACCACCACAAGCCTGCCGGCTCCGTCGAGTTCCTCATCCGCGCCTCCCAGACCGGCGCTGTAGGTCCAGACGAGGATCCTTCCGTTCGCCTTCAGTGGAAAGAGCCAGCCAAGAGCGCGGTAAAGAAGGCACAGAACCAACTCGATGGTTTCCGCAAGAAGCTGGCCAAGCAAGCGCAGGTGGAAGCAGCCCAAGAGGAGAAGCGCAAGCAGCGCGAACAAGTTCTTGAGGCAGCGAAGAACATTACCCTCACCAAGCCCGCCTGGCTTCCCGAGGCCAAGAAGACACGGATTGGCAACAAAGACCTCCGCCTCGGCGAAGGAGATACCCCTGGCGACCGCGTCAAGGTAGCCGGCCGTATTCACCGTCTGCGGCCCCAGAAGCATGCCACATTCATTACCCTGATCGACGGCTATGGCCATCTGCAGTGCGTGCTCCAGGCTGGCGACCTGACCAAGACGTACGATGCCATGACTTTCGCCCAAGGCACGTCCCTGTGGCTGTACGGCGAGATGTGCAAGGTCCCCGAGGGCCAGTCTGCCCCCGACGGCCGCGAACTGCACGTCGAGTACTACGAGGTCATCGGCGCCTCGCCCTCTGAGGAGGACGCCATCACCAACCGGGTCTCTTCCCAGCAGAACCAGTGGGACCCTGCCATGCTTGACCAGCGCCACCTGGTCCTTCGTGGCGACAACGCATCCGCGCTGATGAAGCTCCGCGCCGCGGTCGAGTGGGCTTTCGTCAAGACCTACAAGGAGATGAACATCACCAAGGTGTCACCGCCAGCCCTCGTGCAGACCCAGGTCGAGGGCGGCGCCACGCTCTTCTCCGTTCCGTACTACGACGAGTCCGCCTATCTCACGCAGTCATCGCAGCTCTATCTGGAGACTGTGCTCCCCAGCCTGGGCGACGTCTACTGCATCGAGAAATCCTTCCGCGCCGAGCACAGTCTTACCCGTCGCCACCTCTCCGAGTACACGCACGTCGAGGCCGAGCTCGACTTCATCGACTTCACGGACCTGCTTGACCACATCGAGGAGGTCACGTGCCGCGTCATCGACAATGTTCTCAGCGACCCGGAAAGTGCCGCTCATGTCAAGGAGCTGAACCCGGATTTCCAGAAGCCGGTCCGTCCCTTCATGCGGATGAAGTACGCCGAGGCGATCGACTGGCTCAATGCCCAGGACCCGCCCATCCTCAACGAAGAAGGCAAGCCGCACGTCTTCGGTGACGACATTGCCGAAGCTGCCGAGCGCAAAATGACGGACATAATCAACAAGCCCATCTTCCTCACCCATTTCCCGGTCGAGATCAAGGCGTTTTACATGAAGAAGGACCCCAGCGATCTCCGGGTCACCGAGAGCGTCGATGTCCTCATGCCGGGTGTCGGTGAGATTGTCGGCGGGTCGATGAGGATGGAGGGCTACGAGGAACTCCTCGCTGCATACGAGAAGCAGGGCATCCCCGCGAAGGACTATTACTGGTACACCGACCAGAGGAAGTGAGTTCTTTATCCAATCCCTTGTTTTCGGGGTGGGATGGCAAATTATGGTCTATACACGCATTTCTGCAGGAGACTAACACAATTCTTACTAGGTATGGCACTTCGCCTCACGGCGGCTACGGTTTGGGTCTCGAACGTTTCCTGGCCTGGATGGCCAACCAGCATACTGTCAGGACAGCATGCTTGTACCCGCGATACATGGGACGGTGCAAGCCTTAAACTAGACAAGAGGCGACAAAGCAAAGCAAGACAGGAGGAGGTAGAAGAGCGTAGACATAAGAAGAGAATGCATTGCCACGGCCAGCCCCGCTGTCGGGCCTGAGAGAAGCATATCGACTGGTATCGCTGTGGGGGGTTAGAGAAAGGGCTAGTGGAGCAATATATAAGGAGAGATCAACAAACTTTCTGAAGATAGACAACTCAAAGTTGGCTGAACCTTTGCATGAGTAATGTTGCTGCGCAACTACCTGTGGATGGACTAAGACAAGTCTCGCTGTCGATCTATTCTCGCTATACGGGAATGTGAGCTATACGATCTGTTCTGGTACATGCTGAAAACCCTGCATTCCCGCGAAGGTGTGCTGTTGCGGGACACGGGACAGAAGATGTAGGATAAATGTAAACATGGTGCGTCTTCGCCTTCGAAATAAAATAAGAGCCTTGTTAAAGCAACATTTTACTTTACCATCATCGCTGGAGGGATATTTTTACACGTCCAAAAAGTACGGGGTATATAAACAATAAACATTACTCACTCTATATCTTCGAGTCTCATAGTACGGCCAACAGAGACCGTGACAACAGAATATGCGGAACCCCGCTGGGCTGGTTGATAAAACACCAAACGCTCTTGCCGTTTCTTCCACTTCTTCCTTCTCGTCGTATATAAGATACCAAGCTGGTGTTCCGTGCTATTTCGTCAGTCAAGGACCTCGTTTCATATGCATTGCTTGGGCCCGGAGGCAGAAGACAGCGATAGAGGAAGGGTAGCTATTGCTGGGGGGACACTGCCCTATAGCGTCAGTCGTGTGTCCTGTCAGCAGCACAATTACTCCGAGATGACAGTTGCTGTGACGTTGTAATGTCTAGTATGTGAGGCATAGCTGCATTTTCGTGTATATCGTGAGTTGAAGCTCCACGCCAATTCTGCAGCAAAGAAGGGATCCGAAGATAGCCCCGGGGTTCAATGACATGGGACCAAAATTTGGGGGTGATCACCTCGTACTTTGTACTTTGTACTCCGTACCCCAGGGACGTGGGATAGGGGGGTGCATTCACAATCCAGGGGACTGTCACCACCCACTTAGCCTAGGATTTGCAACCTTTGGGTGTCACAGGTGCACGTAGTAAGAGCTCACGGACTACCACAACCTTGTGGACAAGACATTTAAGCTCAGGGGGGGCAAATAAGACGAAAGAATCATAGAGCCCCCCCCCCTTTCGTTTTGGCAGCCTATGTTTCTTTCAAAATCCGCGTACTTGCAAACGATAAACATCTCTTGCTTGAGAAGCTGCGCGTACGAACAGGACGTTTTTAGAGAACACCACGGCCTTGAACGGAGTTCCTCAATAAACCCCACCTTACTACGGAGTACAGCGGCACGAGATACTTGCATAAAGAGGATCTTGGCATCCTAATGGAGCTTCTCGTCCACCCCCTTTTTCCTCCCCTTGTTGGAGCGGCTGGGGGCATTATAAAGGGATTTCCCCCGGGAGGAAATTTGGCAGACGGAAGAGGACCTTGTAGACTTCTCTTATCCTCGCACTGTAACTGCATGAGCCTCGTCGTGTGTCCCAAGGAACAATGTTACCAAGAGGGGCTGGTCATCCCTGGCCGACCTCATTAAACTTAGCGCCAGACCAATCCAAATCTCTCCTTTTTGGGGACGAGCAGCCGGAACCCCCTTGTTCAATCTGCCCACCTCGTTCTCAAATTCTCTTTGTGCTGCTTGTCTGGACCCATGCCGGTTGATATAACTGTAACGACTGCCTTTTTTTTAATGTCGACTTTGCGTGCGTCTCCAGCCCGAAGAATAAACTGGGAATGAATAGGCAGGCATCCTCTAATATTGAATGGGTTCTTGAACGAAGTACGGATATAACATGCCAACATTGAAAGCATTGTATACTCGAAGCTACGCACCAAAGCAGGTCATTGTAATACGCTGTATAAGGTAGGTAAGGTAAGGTAGGGGCTCATCGTCTCCAGGTACGGCTATCGGTACGGAGTACATGCCGGCGAACCTATGGAATCTTGAACCCCCGTATGTACAACGTACATCGTATGAAGTACCTATGGGTTGGCGATTTGCTACATGCTGTGCGAAAGGTACCTCCAATGAAAGGTATCCGTACCCGTATGTAAGGTACCTGGGCTGGGATTCAGCAACCGCAACTCCCCTTCCCAAGTAATGGAAGCAGCCAAGGACTTGCTTGCTCCTTCCCCAAGGTAGAGTCACCACCGCCCCCGTTACTCCTTTCGGCCGCTTGCTCTCCACCTCTCTTCTTTCCCCCCTTGCACTCTTTGGTAATCTTCCTCTCCCTCACCTCATCACCCCCTTCCGACATTTTCGTCCTCTTTTTTTGTCTTCCACTCTCCCTCGCCTCCTTTTTTTTTTGTGTTGCTCGCTCCGACCATCCATTCTTTCCCTTCTGCACGAGCGCCTCCTCCATTCCTATAGTTTCTTCTACCTTTCTTTATTCTTTTAGCTGACCTTGCCGTCGCTCCGCTAGCTATTCATGCGACCCTGAGCTTGACCTCGACAACTACTTCATCTTTCGGCTTGCGTCCACTCTTTTTTCCCCAATATATATTTATTTTAGTTCTCGACATAATCTCTTGGTCTTTGACTTCTGCAACGAAGCCCCTTCACCTACGAAGACGCCTCCCTCCTTACAGCCAGCCTCATTAAACCCATATCGGATTGCATAGCCTTCGCGTCACTCGCTCACCACCTCGGTTGCTCCACGCTTCTCGGCAGCTCCTGCTTGGCCCGTTGACCCCTGAAACGGTTGATACCTGCTATTAGCAAAATTGCGTTCACTGCTCGTTCTCGGCTACGCGTCCTACTCGGCCTAACGCACCATTCTCGTCTCGCGGGGGGCTTGAACGTCTTCAACGCAATTTACTAGCTCGGTTTGGCTTGAGCCTCGTTAACCAGATCTTCGTTGCACCCAAAAATCACACGCAGTCCATTTCCCCTACGTGCCTGCCTGTGGCACGCTTAATCCTCCAACACGGCTATTCTATCTCACGTCGGTAGGGACACTCTCGTCCCTCCTCATCTGATCGGGATGCAGGACCTCTCCGGACCGGGCCCCCAAGTCAGCCACGGCGCCCCTGGTGGCCGCTTTCCGGGCCACGCCTCCAAGCCATCCAACAGCGACACCGGGTTCTCCCACGGCGCCTTTACCTCGAACATTTCCGGGTTTGCCGACAGGCATCCTCGGCGTGGCAACATCCCGACCATCAACACACAGTCGATGGCCGCCCAGCATCATCATCAGGTTGCTGCTGCTACGGCTGCCGAGATGACCACTCCGGGCACCGCCTTTGACATGCAGTTCACCCCTCTGCTCCCTTCCCAACTTCTTCTTGGCAGCCCCTTCCAACCCGGGACCCCCGCCGCTTTCGGAAGCCCTCAGTTCCAGGTGCAGGGTTTCCAGCAGCAACACCAGCACCCGCAGCACCAGAACCAGCATCAGCAACAGCAGCATCAGCATCAGCATCAGCACCAGCAACAACACCAGCAACAACACCAGCAACAACAGCATGGTAACCACCAACAGCAGCATGCTCATCAGAGTGGCCTCTCGAGCCCGGTTCCTCAGGGCATGTCCCCGCAGCAATACCAGGCCATCGTGTCTCCATCGACGTACGGTGCGCCCCAGTACTTCGCACCGCAGTCTCCTACCGCTGGGTACAACACTGTGCAGGTGCAGCTGCAGCAACCCACGTCTCCCGTCCCCATGACTCCTGGTATCGTTACTGGCACCAGCCGAACCGTGTACCTCGGAAACATCCCTCCCGACACCTCGGCTGAGGAGATCCTCGGCCATGTCCGAAGCGGCCAGATAGAATCCGTACGCTTGCTGCCTGATAAGAACTGTGCTTTCATCTCGTTCTTGGACGCCAGCTCTGCCACACATTTCCACTCGGATGCAATCTTGAAGAAGCTTTGCATCAAGGGTCAGGATATCAAGGTTGGCTGGGGCAAACCGTCGCAGGTGCCTACGTCCGTGGCCATCGCAGTCCAACAATCCGGTGCCTCCCGAAACGTCTATCTAGGCAACCTTGCCGAAGAGATTACGGAAGAGGAAATCCGCGAGGATCTGGGTAAATTCGGGGCCATCGACACGGTCAAGATTGTCCGCGAGAAGAGCATCGCCTTTGTCCATTTCCTCTCTATATCCAATGCGATCAAGGCAGTTTCGCAGCTTCCGCAGGAAGCCAAGTGGCAAGCCCCTCGTCGTGTCTACTACGGCAAGGACCGCTGCGCGTATGTCTCCAAGACGCAGCAGCAAAACGCTGCCCAGTACCTCGGCATCGCCCCGACCCATGCCCACATGTTGACCGGTGCTGATCGTGATATCATCTCCAACGCTCTGGCTCAGCAGTCGGTAGCGGCAGCTGCCGTTGCCACCACTGCCGGCGGCATCGCTAACCTGGGGAATCGCACCATCTACCTGGGCAACATCCACCCGGAGACGACGATCGAGGAGATCTGCAACGTCGTCCGGGGCGGTCTACTTCATCACATCCGATATATCCCGGACAAGCACATTTGCTTCGTGACCTTCATCGACCCCACCGCTGCCGCCTCCTTCTACGCCCTGAGCAACATCCAGGGCCTGATGATCCATAACCGACGGCTCAAGATTGGCTGGGGCAAGCACTCCGGCGCTCTGCCTCCTGCGATAGCATTGGCCGTGAGCGGTGGCGCTTCTCGAAACGTGTACATCGGCAACCTGGACGAGACGTGGACAGAGGAGCGGCTGAGACAGGACTTCTCCGAATACGGTGAAATCGAGCTGGTGAACACCTTGCGCGAGAAGAGCTGCGCCTTCGTCAACTTCACCAACATTGCCAACGCGATCAAGGCAATTGAGGCCATCCGTAGCAAGGAGGAATACAAGAAGTTTAAAGTCAATTTTGGCAAGGACCGTTGCGGCAACCCACCCCGTCAGCTGCAGCAGCAACAGCAGCAACAGCAGCAACAGCAGCAACAGCAGCAACAGCAGCAACAGCCACAACAGCAGCAGCAGCAGCAGCAGTCACCGCGAAGCGATGGTGTCCCTTCGCCTCCTCCTCAGAGCGGAGGCTCGCCGGCAAATACGCCCCAGGCGGCAGCAACGCTCTTCAACATGTCCAACAACCCCTTGACGATGTACCTCAACCAAGTCTCGCAGCAGGCGCAGCATCAGCACCAGCAGCAGAACCAGCAGCTCGCAACGCAACAGGCGGCGCTCTTTGGCACGGCACAGTCGTCGCCGAATGATGTGGGCCTTGACGTGCCGTCTCAGGGACCGGTATCGAATCATCAGCAATCCACGAGCACGTCCAACGGCTACCCGTCGAATACCAATGCCTCATGTGCTACTACCATTGGTGGATTGTTGGCGCCCAACAACCGCAGTCAGCACAACCGTGCTGTGAGCCTGCCTGCCCTAGCCCCTGGGTTCGAGAATGGTGCCCCGACTCCTACCAGCCTCCCCGGCAGTGAAGGAGAGCGCCGCGGTCACCAGTATCAGGCCAGCTTTGGCGGCATGGGGGCCGGGTACGGCCTAGCGATTCAGGGCGGCCTGAACGGCTGGGTCGAGGAGGAAGTAGCGAACTAGGGCCCAGAGGCTGAACTCCAGATCCTTGTGCTTTTCTTGTGAAGTTTCTTTATTTCTCGTTTCTCGTTTCTTATTTTATTCTTTTTTTTTTTTTTTTTTAACTTTCAGGCATTTTGCGCCGCAATTTCGCAAAGGGAACCGGTTGCTTAATTCCTTGTAATTGTCGAGACTTATCTTTTCGTTCTGTTTTATTGTCGTGTTTATCCAACTTCACTCCTTTTCGATTTCTCTTTTGCAGTTACTTGTTGGGGTTCTGTGTTTTTCTTTAAATATCTTTGGACCCCCAGCTACCTTACCCTACTATAATCTTTCTGAAGAGTTTCGATGTATGATCTTGGATCACCCACCCCTGGTTTGGGAGAGAGATCAGGGGACTTTTGGATATTTAACGGCGATCCTGCTGCTGCACTTCCCGAGGGATGGGCAGTGAATATCTGTTGGGATTAGGGGGCACGGAAATAAGGGGAAGGGGGGGTTTTGTAGGGGCAAATATGTGATGGGAGGGAGGCAAGAGGACGGGCTGGCCAGGGGATGGACGGAGAGGCATGGACACAGGGGCACATGACAAGTCATTCTGACCGAGCCGTACATGTCTGCGGGAGCGTAGCTCGGCAACGCAAACCCGATGCCTTAAATCAAAAGATTCCGAAAGACAAGAAAAGGAGAGCCCCTCGCATGAGTGTTGTCCCTTTTCGCAACTTTGATTGCCACGAGGGGCCATGGCCTGAAAATGAGATGTCCTACGAAGCTAGGAGGGCATTATCAGGGGCTATTATATTCTAAGTATCCAAAAATCCTCCTAGGTGAGCGGGCATAAGGGGTAAAGAAAAGAAGAAGAAAAATCACGGAAATGTGCTGTCGGGCAACGGCATAGTCTAAAGATTTTGAGGGCGTCTGAGGTTTTAGGAGCTCCCAGCTGGCTCCTCCTTCTCGGGGATCACGGGCGCCGTCTTGTTGGCGCGACACTGCTGCTTCCAGTCGGTCGGGGTGAACTTGTCTACGATGGACTTGAATGCTTCCTGTCATTCGTTGCACCACGGGGCAGGTCGTTAAGGGTTAGTCATCTGTGACAGCTGTGCACCATGATCTGTATGTAATTGTAGCACTT